GTTAAAGTTCATAAAGTTTCTCTTGAAGTCATGAAATAGACTCTTTAGTTGTGAGAATTATTTAGCATTTTTATTTTTAATAAGAGGAAAAGCATGGGGAATCAGGAGACCCTAGTTCTAGACTAGCTCAGAATTGGAATCACGGTGTAATATAACCTCAGCATTTGCTGAGGATTGTTTCATGCACCCTACATATCAATCATTAACAAAATGGCTGGGTTAGATTTAGAGAGACAGGAAGAGTACATAGACACATATCTTCTGCCTTATTGCGTTTCTATCTTTCTGTTTTCCTTGTAACCTTGGAAATGAAGAGAAGTGATAGTTATGGCATATACTGGTGTGGTCTTGCCTGGACTATGAAGAATTGATTCAAATGGCAGAAGTTGAAATTTGGCATCTTTTAAAATATTTGTCACTTTAAAACAGACTTGGCAATTTATTGGCATATAGCTATTAGAAACATATTTGTAGCTGATATGCCAAATACCTCTATGATCTTTACGAGTGAGCGCTTCTTTAGATACCGCTTTCTGCCTTGCAGAATCTCTAGCATTCTCTATGCTTTCTGCTTCTTTCTTTCTTGTTCCACAGATGCCTAGAGCCCTCTTGTGGCCTCCTGGCCAGGCAGTGATCCCCACCTGACCCCTGCTACTCTCCTGTCTTAAAATATCTCTTCCCTTTTCCTGGACCCAATAAAATTAACCATTTTCTTAGTCAACCTGGTGTTGATTTGATTTTAATAATCCAAGTAAAGGAAGCTTAACTTTGGCACAGGTATAGGAAAGTGTTTGCATTTTCAAAGACTATTCTGTTACAAATTTGTTAACATACTCAGTAGTATAAAGATATTTTATGCCTTTTCCCCCTAAGCACTGCTATATCTACCTCATTAAGAATATTTCTTTCTGCCAGCCCTGTCAGCCAGAAAGCCAAATGCTTGGAGCCAATGTGAAAGCCGTCTCCATTAACTATAACTCAGTGCCCTCACCTCTTTCAAAGTGGCCTTGGTACTGAGTAAAAATAACAGCATTGCTTAGGTTAAGAATTGGGTTGGCACAGTCATCAGTGAATAACTGAAATAGAATTCCTTAAGGTAAAATGCTTTTTTATTACAGATTAGGGAAAAAATGTTGTTGCAGTAGCATAGCAGATTTCTACTTGCTTTACATAAGGGTGACATAAATAAAATGTCAAAAAGTCTCAAAAGACTTTAAGTGTAACTCACTTAATTATACAGAAAAATTTGAAATATCAAACAATAGAAAAAAAGAACCCAGGCCAAAAACATTTTAAGATAATATCCCACTATGTTTCCCAGGCTGGAGTGCAGTGGCTATTCACAGGCACCATCAAAGGGCACTACAGCCTCAAACTCCTGGGCTCCAGAGATCTCCCTGCCTTAGCCTCCCGAGTAGCTGGGTCTGTAGGTATACACAGCACCCCAAAAAACATTTTTAAACGCAGAAATAGGTAGAACTTTAAAAAGTTTACTTTTAATTAATCAAGCACATCACTCTTCATTCCTAATGCCATGCATACATGCTAAAATCTTAGATAACCAAATATAGGCAAAAGGTACAACTAAAAAGAATTATTCTACTTGTATATATGCACTGAGGACAGAGACTCTTCCTAACAGCCTTCACTGGCTCCAGAGCCAGCAGGTAAAGAGGGGTCAGTATCACAATAGCTGATTTGTCAAATGGAGAATTGTACTTTCAGTAAAGAGGAAAGGGAAAGTGTCTTATTTTCAGCATTCTGATCTAATTGATATGCCACTTAAAAATGTTAACTTTTGATAATGGAAACTTTATCAGAATAAGGATTACTTTCCTAGTTACTATATATAAATTTGATAGAAACATTTCAATCTAGTATAATTTCTTTCAGTATTTGGGATCTGCTCTTCTCAATAGGGTTTGTCTGAGAGAATTGAGCTCTAATGCCCTCAGTCAGTGGTTCTCAGCATGAGGTCCATGAACTAATAACATTAGCAATACCTGGGAGCTTGTTAGAAATGCAAACTCTAGAGCCCTACTCCCGAAACACTGCATCAACCATCTGTTTCAACAAGCCCTCCAGGCGATTTGAGGTACCCTAAAGTTTGAGAACCACTACTTTAAGGCATCCATTGCTTATAATGAATTAATTTCTTTCCTATTCATCTAAAATTGTATTAATTATCTAGAGACATTTCAACCTAGCACAATTTATTTTAATAGTTTAGATAATAGTTTTTGATTTTCAGACATTACAATTTATGGTATGAAACTTGGAACACTGATCAACACTGATCAAACCCCCCATATTAGATTATTCTACCATATTAGTCCTAATTATTGGGGTAGGAAAACTTAAATATTATTAGTTTTTTCTTGCTATGTTTAAACACAGAGGCATATAGATTTCTGCCAAATTAAAATTTCAGATAACATTAACTATATAAAAATTTCTGTCAAATTAAAATTTCAGATAGTGAATTTTCACTCTCCAGTAGGTTATATATTTATTTGTAATAAGTTTCTAAGGACAAATTATTGCTATATATAATTTTTTACATTTAAGATGATAGATCATTATTGAGATGTTTGAATGCACTGGGTAAATACAGGCCTTTTGAACCTCGTTTTAGAATATATATAGGGTAGCTACTTAAAAAGAATAGGCTCCTTTTAAAAGTATTATAAGAAGGATAAGAAGGTACAAACAATATGCTCCTTAGATGTCACTTCTGCTACAAAAATTGCATTATATAATTCTTGTCGCAATTAACTTTTTCACAGGAGAAGAAAAGGTTAACAATTAACAACGTAGCTCGAAAGTGGGACTTGCAGCAACGAGTAGCCAATATTGCCACAACTCAAGATAGAAAAGATTCTGACTCTCCTTCTCAGGACCCCTGTCAGATTGACGGAAGCACCATCTCTGCGTCTCCCGAGGAAACGGGGTATGCAATGGCATCTTTCAAGATACTAGCATCTTTAGAGAATTGAATATGGAGTGGGAGTGGGAAACCATTTCATGTATAATTATATTAATAGAGTAG